GTCCCTTTTTAACCCAGCATTTTTTAGAGTGTGCCAGAGTGTCGTACTCGAGTGATATTGCTCATTTAGAAACTTTATTTACTGTGATTATTTACTGATTTGCTGTATTATTTTATTAGTATATTTTATTTTTAAATGCATTCAAGTTGGAATTGTGAGTTACCTTTTTTATTTTTTATTTCATGGCAGAAACAAAAAACTGAATTTCGAGATATAAACTCAGAATTGCGAAATGTAAACTTGGGGAAAAAAATTTAAGAGTTTATAACTCGAATTGTGAAAATATATAAACTCAAAATTGCAAGAATAAAAAGTCAGAATTACCTTTTATTTATTTATTTAAAAAAAAAATCTGTGCCAGAAACATGCTTCCATAGTTTTATCAGGTCTTTCATTAATAATTTGCTTTAGTAACTTCTTTGTGATTATTTACCGATTTACTATATTTAATTATTTATTTATTTTTACATTTATTGAATTTAGAATTAATTATTTAATTAGTAATAAATATTAATATAATAAAAATATGAATACTTATTATACATTATTTACTGATGACTAAAAACAAATGTTAATTATTGTATATTTTGGGGAATGTGACACTTTTACAGTCATTCGTGAACCATTTCAGAACTTTCCTAATGAGACATGCATGGCTGCACTCTTTGATCCACTTAATCTTGGGGATGATGTCACTTTAAATAAGAATAAATAATGAATATGTCTGTGTTACAAGATGTTTTACTCTTTTAAATGCAGCATTTTTTCTTCAGCGGATGCCGGCAACAATCATGTGATCATTTGCAATCTGTGCGAGATCTAAATACATTAATACCTTTCGTTGTACAAAATCAAGCTAATTAGAAATGAGGATACAGTTGCTGCCAAACGATTGTGTATCTTTGCTGAGTGCTTAAAAACATTCTTGAGCATTTGATGACGTGATGATTTATGGCTTTAATCATCTCCAAAATAGCTGCTGGCAGCAGATTTTTTTTCCATGGTACTTATTTCACAACAACCCAACTTCGAGAATAAGACAGCTTTACTGTTGACACATTGTAACGCAGCCCACGATGCTTTGCTTTTTATTAAGTTAAGCAGAGCATAAATGGAGGACAATAACAAGGGCAGATGGGATCATCTTGTTTTGCTCACTATTGAATTTGTCAGAACCAAAATGCTTTTCCTACATCTGCCGAAATCCAGATTTTCCCTCCTTCACTTTTCCAGGCTGATCTCATTTGGGAGTGCTATTAATTGAGATCAAATGCTTTTCCGAACACTCTCTTTGCACATGTCCTGCATAACTGTGGTGCCCTGTGAAACCTAATCGGCCTGTTTCTCAAGCGCTCAGACGTGACACAGTCAGAATGCCAGGCTCAGGTTTGCCTACAGAATGAGGCGTCGTAAAGAAATGGCCGTATCTTGTGCCACGTGTGGTAAAGCCCAGCATTGATACTATCTTCTGTATCATTCTGAGAATAAGAATGTAATAAAGTGTAAAGGGTAAGAGGCACTTAGAGTGGAAATGAATGAGGCCAGTTTTTGGAGGAAAGCAGAATGTTAAGCTTATCATTTTATAAAAGCATTAACATTCTTCTGTTAAAATGTGTGTATTAATTGAGTCATTAAGGTTTTAAGCATTACGTTGTCATGGCAACAAAGTTTCAAAATTCACTTACATTGAAAGGGCCTCACTGTAACTGAGTTTTTCCAAAATTAATTACTTGGTAATTATACCACAAGTACTTAATTTGTATTGAACCTGAAATATTCTCTTGAAGGAATAGTTCGTGCATAAAATCTAAATTTGCTGAAGATTTTCTCACCCTCAGGCCATCCAAGTTTGTTTCTTCATCAGAACAGATTTGGAGAACTTTAGCATTACATCACTTGCTCACCGATGAATCTTTTGCAGTGAATGGGTGCCGTCAGAATGAGAGTCCAAACAGCTGATGAAAACATCACAAGAAATGGACACAAGTCCAGTTTATCATTATCTTGTGAAGTGAAAAGCATGCATGTTTGTAATAATAAAAATTTAATTAAAATAGTCCTCTATCCATAATATTGCTTTCTCCAGGAAAAAAAGTCATCTTGTCTGAATCAGGAGAGAAATATGCACAGATCAAGCACTGTTTAAAAGCGGTACAAAACAATTCTAAACAAATATGTCTGTGGATTTTGATGTGAGAGGACAACAGGCTTTTTCACTGTGGAAAATCAAGCGTAGCGTTAGTTCTGGCAGGTCACGTTAGTCAAGCTCGCATCAGCTGACTCTCAGCTGATCCCCATCAACATATGGGAATACGACACCTATCTAAGTATTCATATATAAGGTCCCGCAGTAGTATCAGCAGTTTTCGCATTGCTCAATAGCTAATTACCCTCCTCCATCCCCAACTCCTCCTCTGTCAGTCAGGATTCAGCCTTCTGATTCTCCTTTGAATCAGACTAATTTAAAAATGTGTACATAACATTATTGAACTTTAACTATATCTGCAATACATTTATGTTGGTTCTGTTCTGTTTACCCTGGGGGGGGGGGGGGGGGTGGCCCGCTCTCCCCCCCTCTC